GGAAGACATGCTACATGTAATCCTCTTGGTGGGAAGAGACCTTGGGAATTAATTTCCCAATGAGGGCCCACACATGGCCCCTAAATATGGGTCTATGTCCTTTGCCTTTTTGTATTTGTTCTTTCTTGTTCTTAGGGGAAGGAATATTGGACTAAGCTGTAACCTTGTGAACTTGAAAGGTCAGGAGAAGCAAGCCAGCAGAGTCTCAGAGGCTGGAGCCCATGGCAGATTTTGTGAACAACCTGGCCAGGTGAAGTATGAAGTCTCAAGCAACCTGCTTGACCCAGCATAAAAGTGGATTGCAAGCCTCTAAGGGGGAATTACAATGACATCACTTATACTGTATATGGAACTGATTTAAGGTTGAACTCACTTTTACCAGCGATTAAAGTGGTATAGGGGAAAGTTTGTCCCTGGGCATATTAAGAGGAATGATCTGAACTTCTTGCTTTATCTTCTTAGTAAATATCCCTTTATAAAAGGTTAAAAAAAAGAGATGGGCACACTAATGCAATGTTGGGTTCCTCTAAGAACCTCTATTTTCAGGAAGCATCCTAAGCCAGTCATCCTTCATTCTTCCCCGCCTCTGCTTCTGACCCTACAGACTTCATCACCATACTACCCACTCTTCTCACCCATGCCCAGTCCTTTTCAGCTCCCTTTTATATGTGGTCTTTCCCTGATTAAAATGTAATTTACTTGAGGACAGGCATTGTCTTTCTTTTTGCTTATATTTGTATACTTGGCACAGTGTCTGGCATATAGTAAACACTTAATAAATGCTTGTATGACTGACTGGAGCCCTGAAGTGCTACACACATTCTGGAAAGCAATTTAGAATTATGCCAACAAATTGGCTAAAATATTCATGTCCTTTGACCCAGAGATTTCACTGTTGGCATTTACCCAAAGGAGATCAATGACAAACAAAACAAAACAAAACAAACAAAAAAAAAAACAAAGCCAAGATTCACCCAAACATTCATAGCAGTTCTTTTTTGTAGCAGCAAAAATCTCAGAAGCAAAGTATATGATCATTGATTGGAGAATGGTTAAACAGATTGTGGTGCCTGAATGGAATAGGATATTGCTATGCTGTAAGAAACAATGAACATGATAAAACAGAAAAATACACAGGACCATTTATATGGACTGATAAAGGGAAGCATGAAGAACCAGGTAAAATATATACACAACGTCTACAACAACGTAAACGAAAAGAACAATAAAACAAAACAATCAAAACTGCATGGTGACAAATGATAAGGACCAAATTTGGTCCAAAAGAAAGAATATGACGAGACATTGTCCCCTGCTTCTTTGCAGAACTGACAGATCATTGATGTGAAATACCATGCCGTCAGACTTTTTTGATATTTTAGTTAGTTTTGTAGAACTTTTTGCCACTTTCCTTCCTCTTTTAAAAATTCTTTATTATACAGATGACTCTCTGGGACAGGATGGGAGGGGATGGGAAATGCAACACAAACAAGAGATATGAGTAAAAACATTTCTTTAAAAGCATAACCTGGTCCAACCCAGAGATCCACCAGTAGTCTTCCCACTGTTTGACTTCCTTAAGTGCCCTAACAATACTAATGCTGTTCAAGTCAGCCACTATTAGATGCTATTGTTTCTCACAGCCCTGGCAAATGGGGAGCATCTCAAGGGCTTCCCTGATGCCAAGCTCAAGGCACTACACCCAAATCTCTTCCATCTTTACTGGCAATTCCTTACATTTTCCCCATTATACTGAGAGCTGGGAATAGTCAAATCACCCGAGTCTCTCAGAGAAGAAGTAGGAATCAACACACCCCTTGTCCCAGATGATGGGATATTCTAAGCATCTCCTTAGGATGCATGCTGTGCTCCTGGCTTCAGTTCCCCTAAGTAAGCATGGAAGGAGAGAGATCTAGAATTCTTACTTCTTCTAGGTAAACATGCATCTAACTTGTGCCATACGTACCAGTTAAAGTCACCATCATTCAGAAAATCTCTTTCTTTGTCAACCTACTACTACTCACTGTTTCCTAGACACTGAACCTTTTGTTACCCAAGGCTGGAGTTCTTTGGCAACCTATCTGGTCACAGTTTAACTTCAAATGGCCACTCAATAATACTTTTTTTCTTAAAATTTATTTTCCCCAAGAGTCACTAGTTGTTTTTTTTTGTTTGTTTGTTTATTTTAGGCAATTGGGGTTAAGTGATTTGCCCAGGGTCACACAGC